CGCAAGCCTTGTATCACATTAATTGCTCTGGTGTTGCTTATACTCGCCATAACTGTGTTCTTAAGTGAGCTAATATCACGGGACTCTCCATTCAGCAGCCCAGCCGATATAAAGGGGTTTCCCAAACCAGAGAGCCAGGAAAACCGCAACAAAAAACCAGAGGAGATCAAAATGAGCAGCGCAGCTCAGTCAGACAAGGATGCAGAACTGGAAGCGACACTGAGGAAGTTCCCTCCTCCAAATTACTACCTCCATGCCTTCTACTACACGTGGTATGGAAACCCAAAGATTGATGGAAAATACATACACTGGGACCATCCACAGCTGCCACACTGGGACGTTAAGGTAGCTCAGGGATATCCACAAGGGAGACACAGCCCACCTGATGACATTGGAGCCAACTTTTACCCTGCTTTAGGGGTTTACAGTTCTAGAGACCCCTCTGTTATAGAGGCTCATATGCAGCAGCTGCGTACAGCAGCCATCGGTAAGACATCAAGTCACTTTTAATTATATACCACATTTAAAACAACGGGAGCTGAGCCAGAGTGCTTTCCAGGCAGGCAATGCAATGATGGCAAAATATGAATAAAAAGAAGTCATAAATAAAGTATAACAATAGAAATAACACTAGAAATAAAAGACCAGTAAGAAAAATTTAAATGCGTACTTGACTAAAAGCTAGTGAAAATATATACAGTGCTGTATAAAAAATATTGCTCCCTTCCTGATGTCTTAATTTTTTTCACACTGTAGAAAACATCTTGATCCCCAAAACCTTCAGGAAAATATTCTGTGGACTGAACTTTTTGGAAGGTTTGAGTCCAGTTACATCTGGCATGAAACTAACACATTATTTTATTTTAAAAAAAATCATGCCAACAGTCAAACACGGCGGTGGTAGTGTGGTGGTCTCGGGCGGCTGGATGACTTGCTGTAATTGTCGAAACCATGAACTCTGCTCTCTACTAGAAAATCCTAAAGCAAAATGCCTGGCCATCCTTTTTTTCCCTGAAGCTCAAAGAACCTTGGGTTTTGCAGCTGGAAAATAATCTTAAACACATCAGCAAGTCCACCTCTGAATGAAACAAAAACAAAATGAAGGTTTTGAAGTGGTCTAGTCAAATCCTTAAACAGGCCGTCCATGCGGGAAAACCCTCTAATGTGTCTGAATTTTTTTTAAAAAATGCAAAGAAGAGTGTGCCAAATTCCTCCACAGGGATGTGAAAGACTCATTCCTAGTTATTGCAAAAGCTTGATTGCAGTTATTGCTGCCAAGGTTGGCACAACCAGTTATTAGAATTAGGAGATAATAACATTTTTCACACAGGGCCAGTTAGGTTTGGATAGCTTCTTTTATTATTATTTCACCCTTTTAATAAATGAAATCATTTTTTAAAAAACTGATTTTTGCATTTATCCTGGTGTGGAAATGTATTTGAAGTCTGAAGCATATAAGGGAGCCAATACTTTTTCACCACACTGTATGTCTTTAGAAGTGGTTTATTGTCAGTTAGACATGTGCTTATGTGGGTTCACGGAAAATTCCAGCTGTTGTTGCCCTGGTGGCAGTAACAGCTGGAAAAGCCTGTTCGCCTTCGGCTTTTAGGCGAAAAGGTGGCGCTGAGATAAGCTGATGGAGGATGACCTCAGAGACCAGGAGGCCAAATAAATCAATGCAGTTAAGCTCAAACAGGAATGACATGTTGCCTGTTCTTTGGATCATTCTGAATCTATGTAGTGAGCTGCAGACATTTATAGGTTAGTGTTTAGTTTTTCACACAAAATAAACATATTGTTCCCAACTATCAAACAAAAACTCTTCTCATTGAATTGTGTCGGCAGCTATGATAATGGTGACACACTGATACAAGGAAAGCCTAATAATATTGCTCCAGGCAAACATTTAATACAGATTTATTACACATTTACATTAAATGAATCCAGTTATCTTTATGAATGTCCATCTGGGTGTTTTTCTTTTAGATTTCATATTGATACTGTTTATTTTAAGGTGTCATTGCTGTTTCCTGGTATCCTCCCAATATGAAGGATGACAACGGGGACTCAACAGACGACATTGTGCCTTTGCTGTTTGAGGTGGCTCATAAATACCACATTAAGGTGTGTGTGTAGAGACTGCAGCAGTTGCTTGAATGAAACGTCATTATATTCCTAATGAAAGGATTTGTGATTGTGATCCCCGGTGTGTGTGTGTGTGTTATCTTTGTCATTATTTGTGTGTTATAGGTAGCTTTTCACATTGAGCCATACAAAGGAAGGGATGAAGTCAACATGTTCACTAATGTTAAATACATCATTGAGAAGTGAGTAGTGATTTCGTCCACAGAGTCATTCAGATGTCATCATTAATGTTATCTGCATATTTAGATTCATCTTTCTATTCCTTTGACATCTGGTTGTTTTTCCCATCCCATCCTCCACAGATACGGAGAGCACCCGGCTTTTTTCAAGTACTTGACAAACACTGGCAAACTTCTTCCGCTCTTCTATGTGTATGACTCATATCTGTTGAACTCGGAGCAGTGGGCCAAGCTGCTAAAGCACACGGAGACCAACAGCATCAGGGATACCCCGTATGACGCCATCTTCATCGCGCTGCTGGTGGAGGAGAAAGACAAGAGAGATATCCTGACAGCAGGGTTCGACGGCGTTTACACCTACTTTGCCACTAATGGTTTTTCCTACGGTTCCACGCAGCGTAACTGGGCCTCTATAAAAGCTTTCTGTGAAGATAACAACCTGATGTTCATTCCAAGTGTAGGCCCGGGATATATCGACACGAGCATTCGACCCTGGAATTTCCAAAACACTCGAAACCGCATCAATGGCAAATACTACGAAACCTCGCTGAGTGCAGCACTGGAAGCCAGGCCTGATTTTATCTCTATCACATCCTTTAACGAGTGGCACGAGGGGACTCAGATTGAAATGGCAATTCCAAAAACAAGCCAGACGGTGTATCTGGACTATCTGCCCAACAAGCCATCAATCTACCTGGAAATAACTCGCAAATGGGCGGCGATATTTGGTGGTGAGAGACGAAAGTGGCAGGAATGAAAATGACTAAAAGCCATAGCAGATGTTTATTCATGGGGGTATAAACAAAATGAAAGCTAAATGGAGTTCTGCTTGCTGAACGCAGAGCAAAATGCAAATGAAGACCAACTTTATGAGAAAAGCCAAATGATTTGCAAAGCCGTAGGCAAGTGAACCACTTAATTATCCTAATTTTGGCTGCGCTGATGTATGTCGTTTTGTTGCACTTGAACGAATTATTGTGAATTTAACTGATGTCTTATTAACGCTTGTTTGCACACCCTTGTGCATTTTTGCTATTCCTGGATTTTCATCAGCCGAAACAGCATAGGCATGTTTTGCAGTTCTGTGATCTGTGACTATATTAGACCCGAATAGAAATAAAGTGCACTCTGGAACGAGGCAGAGACACGAGTAAACAAAGCAGTCTGGTGGAATAAAGCTGTTGCCTCATTCTGCTTTCAACTCGGCTTCAGCCCAAAATACAGTACAAGAAAATAAAAAAACCCTCCAACATAGATTTTGACATTTCAAAGACATGCCAGTTTAAAATCTGAGATGAGTCATAATGATGCAAACAGCGGCGGGATGGAAGGATAGCAGTTCAGTTGTTGAAACAGATTTGTAGCTGAGGGAATGGAGGGCAATATCAAGATTGGTTTTTATATGTGCAGTAGATTGCCTTCTTATTTATGAGCTGTTGCCATGGTACAGTACAAGTCTAACAGATACTTCTCTTACTAGACGTGCTATACATACAGCTGCATACAGCTGCGTGGCCACAGCTGTTTGGCTGCATCTGCACAAATCACGCATTATGTTAAAACTGCCCCCGCAGCAAAGCCATCTCTCCACTGAAAACATACAGTGGTCTTTTTATTCTTGTCTCTTAATTTTCAGCCCAGTCCTTCTTCCAGATCACTTGAACTTGTGAGAATTTTTGTTGGTGGTGTTTCGGCTTCCGCAGCCATACAGCATGTTTACCCACAGGTTTATAAGCAAGCATGGCTGTGAAAGCCATTCAGCTTCAGCTTGGATTCCTGGAGCAGTTCACAGCAAGTTTTAAGGACTGCTATAGATCACTGTCTAATTGTACAACCCAGCATCTTCTCAGTTGTACGTCCTTGGCTGGCTGCGGAACATTTGCATCCAGAATTTGCTGACTTTTATTGGAATTTATTTTTGCCTCGATCCAGGCAATTTTCCCGACGCTCCCAAATCAGAATATTACTGCAACAGCTTTCATGCTTAAAAGTTGGCAAGTTATGTGTGTGTGTGTGTGTTTGCTTTATTTTTCAATTAAATGCTTTTTACTAGTTTTTCTTAAACTGTACCTTTGGTGATTGTGGCCAAAAAAAGCCAAATGAGCTTCACCTGCACACAGCACTTGTTTTCCAATTGGCTCTGGCTCATCCGGGTGTTGCTTTGCCTACTGAAGTCAAACTCAAAGATCTTGTCTTCATGTCCTCTTGCCTTGCTGTTGTGCAAGGCTGCCTTTAATCCGACGCTGTGTAAGAAAAGTTTTTTGGAGTTTGACCCATGCAAAATCGTGTTGATGCACTTCTGAAATTTAGTCGTTAATTTTGAAATGAACCCTGTGATGATGACTCCAACTGTTTTGAATTACAACATTAAACCACTAGAGCAACCCCGTAAATGATTAATTGACTGGCTAAAAGAAATCACAGGGCATGCTCAAGGTTTAATGGGGCAAACTGCATCTGTGAGCCTCTGTATAGATAATTGAACCTACTTTTTTTGTAAGTTGTTTTTGCATGTGATTTAAGAATGCGAAAAATATTAAATAAACTCGCTGAAAATGAACAGAATTGTGTTTTTGGGCCTCTGAAGGTGGCTGTGGTGCATTATCCTCGCTAACTGGCAATCAGACTTCAGCTTTTACATCACTGAAAGATTAATTTGTACAGACCAATTGAGGTGAATCCTGATCCCGTGCTTCCTCTCAGCAGAGATGACTGACCTGTTTATTCAAATGAGAACCTTAAACAAACGATTAAAGTGTAATATGGTACTAAAGCGGAATCGCAGCATCCCACTCAAACTAGCGCTCCGCCACAGCCTGCAGCTGCATCCACGGTAAACAGAGCAAGGTAGCGCATGGGCAGCCAGCAGGGAATTATTCCACATCGCATCACATCCCTGAGCATACATGGCGCCCTCGCACACCGAGATATGAATTTAGTGTGCAAGCGAACGAGGTAGTCGCGATTTCCCCCTCTTTCTTTCTTTCTTTCTTCCCCCCTTTTTTTCACTTGCAGCCATCATTCTCTGCGTCGGTGTGCAGTAGCGGAGAAGATTCAGCGCACATTACTACAGTAGGTATCATCATTTTTTCGGGATCAAGACGATGGATGCGGGCTCTATTGCTGCAAACACGGCGTGCGGGCTCGATTTTTTATTCCAAACGCATCCACATCTTCCGTATGTTTCTATGTGTCTTTGAAAGTGAGGAGGAGGAAATGAGAAGAAAGCTTTATTTTGACTCACGCCTGTCGCGATGGTGAGTAAAATGCTTGGCTGAGTCTTTCTCCCCCCCATTCTTGCATCCTATGTCTGATCTTCTACCTGATTTTAAAGGCAAATCATCTGTAGCTAATTGCAAACGCCAAAAAGAAAATGCGCAAAACAAATGTCACAAATATAGACCGCTTCTCGTTTTCCCCGGGGTGTTTGATTGTACACTGCATTCTTAAATGTTTAATGCACTAGACAGTTCACACACTGCAGGGGACATGGATGTTTTTCTCCCGTGAATGTGACTTGTATTTCAAACCTTGCCCTCATAGCTGCAAATATTATGCCCACCGCGCGCTATTATCTAGGTTCTGTTAGTCAGCACTGGAAAATATTCCAGTGTATCTTTATTATTCCCATCAACTTCAATGCAGTGTCACGCCAAAAGACAACCATTTTAAAGAGTGGCTCCACTACAGCGTCACGTTTTGAAATGACCTTCAGTGCTCGGTGGCTGGAAATTAATTCTCACCTGAGATGGAGTGTCCGTTTTCAGCCAGTACGGGGCTCCTTCCAGAAATTATGAGTTGCAATCTAAAGACAACAATTTTGGTGTACATGTGCAGCTTTAGCCTTTGCATACCCGTTACAAAACGCTGTTTGGGATTTGAGATTTCTGTGACTGATATTGCCACAGAAAATGTGTGACTGCGTTTTTTTCCTCCCCTTACTGCTCTCCAGCCACTTCAAACGTGGCCTCGCTGCAGACTACTCACCCATGCGGTGCTCTTTCTGTGTCCCAAATACATCACAATGCATTTAACAAAATCACAGCTATGCTTTTTTTAAAAAATGTGAATGAGCTGCAGGAGTCTCCCCTTAGTCTCATTTTGGTGGTTTAGAGATAGAAAGACATATCTAAATAAATAAATAAAACATTGTGCACCTTCTTTAAATAATCACATTGGAGACACTGGAACTTCAAAGGCCTGACCTGATCACTGCAATACAGGTCAACCTCCATCCTATGGGGTGTTTTATATAATTGACACCAGCACATCATGGCATGCATGGGATGCATCCTGTTAACCACAGAGCTTATCACTGCAGCTCACAGGAGGCATGGTTGAGTGCTGTAAGAGGATTGTCCCTACATGAAAATGTATTGATACCATAAGCCTTTAAAACGAGTGGCACTCATTTGGCTCTTATCTCAATCCATCTCTGACTTGTGTGTCCGCTGGGTGCATATCTGTGTAACAAAGTCAAAGATTTGGATGAAGCATGGATGCATGTTACCCTTTCCTTTGATTTTACTGATTCAGATATGCTTCAGGGATGCATGGAAGAAAAATCGTCTCTCAAGCTTTGATTCTGCACTTGGCATGTCAGGCTTGTGTGGCCTCTGTGCCAAATGCAGGTGTGCTGAGCCCCAGAGAGCTCTTTTATTCTTCTCAGCCTTAAGATGGCAGCATTCTCTTACAACACACAGTGGATACCCAAAATAACAACCTACATCCATGCCTAACTGGAAACTTTTAAAAGATATCTAGGACTATCTAGGACTACCTGACTATTTGTGTGAGAACTTTTGTTTTGCCTTATACACTTGTTTGTAGAGATTAAGCTCATCTCTGCATGCATGCTGGAAATACAAGCTTTCTCTGTGGCGCTATGAAGTAGCTCAGTGGGCACAGAACATAGGGAAACCCACAAAGTAATGGAGTTTGAAAGAACCACAATTGAATTAAGAACTGTACAATGCCTAGCTCAGTCATGGTGAGTGTGTGGATGCAGGTATTTGACAGTTAGCCAAGCGATGACAGATATGCTTCTTTTTTACAAAAAGCCATTGCTCTGGCACTTGCCATGTTAAAGATTATAGACTGACAAATACTATAGGCCTATTAAAAAGTTTTATATCAACTCTGCTAGTACTGTCAGCTACTCTTTCTACAGTCTTGATACTTCTAGGAGCATTTTTAAGAGAACAGAACAGACCAAGACAGAGGAGGAATAACTAGAAAGCAAACAGTGACATGCTAGGTAGCTTAACTGGACAGTCATATCCCAGACCTCCATATGGTTCCACATGTGAAAAAAGCTATTTTCAAACCGGAAGTGCAACATGGCGAAAAGTCAAGGACATTCAGTGACTATGGGTGAAATTATCACTGCATGAAGTTAGTGGAGCCTGGGGTAAACATTTTTCAAATCCCAGGCAACTGACTGAAGTGACTACTAATGAGAATGCAGGATATCACTAATTAACATATGATCTGGTGGTAAATATGGCAACCAGAATTTGAAACATCCGCAAGCCACCAGCTGCCAGCTTTAAAGCGACACGCAACAGGAGAATCAGTTCCAGTGTGTACACAGCTTAAGGATGACAAAGTTTCTATACTGGACACAGACAATAGTAAGATATCCAGAACAAAAGAGCATAACAGCCAAAACCCAAGTTACAACCAAAAGCAGCAACAAATAATCCTAACCAAACGCGATATGTTGTCGCAATATTAAGGTCCTACACCACAACAAGTTACTAACAAAGTGTTCTACAGTTTATAAGACAAAAGCCTTTGGGCACTGATTCAGTGACTCTAATGAAGGAGCCGATTACAAGTCAGGGACAAGCCAAGGAAGCTGGAGAACAGTCCTCCTACTCTCGCAACCAAAACCATCTAACTTAACCCTAGCCTTTAGGCAGTTAAAAGTAGGGGTTAAGTGAGTGGCAACTGGTTAAACCAGTGATCCCATCAAAACCACTGAGGTGTTCCCAAGCATATATCTCTACCCACATTAATGTAACAGGTGACTCAGTGGATTCCCTACACATAACCTAGTGTCTTAAACCTAGTAAGTGAGTTCAAGAACCACCACTGCACTAATGAACTCAAAGTTCATGAGCTAACAAGAATTGGCTAACGAAGCTCTCTCTGTCCAAGCTTAAAACCTGTGTGTATCCCCGAGAAAGATTTTTTTTACACTACTGATAAAAAATAAACTTTCATAGGAGCCAACTAACAGGAAAGTCCAAAATAAATTCATATCACTACTAACTAGGAAAAAAGCCACTAAACTAATTTGTTATGCCAAGACTGATCATAGCATACCTGTGGTCAAGTATGGAGAGAGTAGGCAAAATGGGAGGGGTCATCAAAGTGCTTGCTTTTTGTCTCTTTTCCTGGCTTAATAGATTCTCTCTCATTTTCTGTTTTTGCTTGTATAAAGGAGGCATCATTAAGAAGACCAGTAAATTCAAGATCAAACACACTTCATTCAGTCATTAAGGATCGTTATTATTCAGCCTAAGAGCAAAGAAGCATCTTCTAGCTCCATCCTGCAATTTGTTTTCCTATGAGCACCGAATCACAGAGGAGGTTAATCCAAGCTTCGATCCGATGTAGGAGCTGTTCCCTCAAATTCCCACAACCTCTACTCTTGCTTGGATTTCAGCATTCAGTAAAATCCGCCAGGTTTGTATTGCAATATGTTGTAGGAGGCATCACAGTTTTATTTAGCAGTTTTATTTGAGCACCGATGCAAACTATTGCCTTACACACCACACAGTATATATTCATACCACTAAGTATTTAAAGGCACAGATTCTGTTCAGAGTCAATGATCCAGTAGACATTATTACATGTTGGTAGTATGTAAAGCCCGATAAGATGATCAGTCCTGATGTTGTGTCCTGCTGACTGTGTGGTATTTTTCTCTTTGGTTTGCCCTTTTTAGGACAGAGTATGCCATCTGCACCTTTTCACAGAATTCTGCGACCCCTTCTGCTTGGTACTTTTATACTGGGATGCTTTGTGACTCTGTTTTTGATGTATTTTAAACCATCTACAAGCTGGTTATCAGGTCCTGTAGAGTCAACAGTATCCACAGACCGGGTCAAGAACCTCTTCTCCACCAAGAGCGATAAAAACGTGACCACTCTGCTGATCTGGCTCTGGCCCTTCGGACAAACGTACGACCTGAGCGTCTGCAGCTCTCTCTTTAACATTGATGGCTGCTTCATCACAGCAGACAGGAACTTCTACAATAAGTCTGATGGAGTCGTCATCCATCACCGGGACATCAGCACTGACCTGTCCAATCTGCCGCCGCTGCAGCGACCGTCGTTCCAGAAGTGGATATGGATGAACTTTGAGTCGCCATCCCATTCGTCCCAGCTGCCTGGGATAGAGAACCTGTTTAATCTGACTCTCAATTACCGTCAGGATGCTGACATTGAAGTGCCTTATGGGTCCATCGTAGCAGCAGAAGGGGAAGAGGATTTTGTACCACCCAGCAAAAACAAGCTGATTTGCTGGATTGTAAGCAACTGGAACCAGGATCACGTGCGGGTGAAATATTATAATGAACTCTACAAACACATTGAGGTTCATGCATATGGACAGGCCTTTGGGGAGTACATCTCTGACCAAGACTACTTCCCCACCATCGCCAGCTGCAAGTTCTATCTGGCGTTTGAGAACTCCATCCACAAAGATTACATTACTGAGAAACTGTACAACCCACTCTCAGTGGGGACAGTGCCAGTGGTTCTCGGCCCACCCAGGCAGAATTACGAGAACTTTATCCAGGGAGACTCCTTCATTCATGTTGACGACTTCAGCTCGCCCAAGGAATTGGCTGATTACCTGCTGCTCCTGGACAAAAATGAGGAAATGTACCTAAGGTACTTTGAGTGGCGGCGACACTTTAAAGTAAAGAAGGCTTATTTTTGGGCAGAGCACACATGCCTGGCTTGTGATTACTTGCGAAGGCACAAGGAATACAAGGCATTCAATAGCCTTGATAAGTGGTACTGGGGCGGTTAGAGATTTGAAGGGCTGTGTGTGAGGGGCTAAGCAGCCAAGAACACAGGTAAAAAATTTCTTCAAAAAGGGTTTTCTTTATTTTAACCCTCAAAAAGTTCAAAAAAGACTAAATTCAAAAACATAAGTAGCAAGCCCATAAAAGAGGTCAACTAAATGTAACTCTACAAAAAGTAATTTTCACAAGCTTAAACAAACAAAGTGGACATAACTTAACTCACAAACCACCCTAATTACAAAGACACAAGAGAGTAGCTTTTATAGTGGTTTGGCCATTTACACACAATAGGGGTAAAACAAAAACACACTCTAATATTAACTAAGCACAGAATAACCTAAGTAAACCTAAAACATCCCTGTTCCTGATGAGCACATGGTTGGTCCTTCTGAGCAGGCCTATTGTTCTCAGAGTCCTCAGCCATGCCTTTTGCCCCCCCACTCCATACCAGTTGGTGGCGGTAATGCACCTTTCAGTTGTTTGCCAACCAACAATAAAAATTTAGAAGAAGAAGGTCCCTTTTTCCCAGACAGGAAACAGCCACCGCCCAAACCCAGGTAACTCAAAAAAAACAAAAACATAATTAATATAACAGAAAACATTTTTAGAAAAACCACACAACGCTATTATGTGCGCGCCTCATAATATCAGTGTTAGGTTTAACCAAATGATTAATGAATTATATTAATGAAGAAAACTGCAAAACAAACTAATAAAGTGAACAAATGGACTGATTTACCCATGTGTGGCTGATGCCATCACACTGTGTGATTTTTGTTATGTTGTTGAAGGCAGTACTGTAAGATTTTTGTCCTTCAGTTAACACAAAGGTCCGTTGCTGTTCTGTCGTGAGCAGCTGAATGGTGTCTTTCTATTGGTTCAGAGGCCCAGTGACACATCTAGCTTGTTCTTTTTTTGTCCTTTGAATTTTAGTTAAGCCTTACTTTGCCTTTTGAGTTTTTAATTTATAATTTTTTATTTATTTTTTATGATTTACAAGTGCACAGTTTTTTTTAAAATTATTTCTGACCATGTTTTACTTAACATAACCACATCTGCTGCTATTTTTTTTAAATGATTTTGTCCTATTTTTTAGTGTGATTGCATGATTGTATAAATGTTCTGATAACATTCATGATGCAAGTTTTGTTTTTGTTTTTTATTATCCCCTGCTTATGAAGTGGCACAAGCTGACATTGGGGAAAGTGTTAGCTGGAGAAGAGGGGCTGACATAAAAGTGAAAATATTTATGTAATATTTATTCAAATGAGGCATTATATGATAAAAAACAATCTCATCTGTGCTAGTGATGAATTCACCTATGCATTGTTTACTAAACTCCAATGTGAAAATGGTTCAATAGGGTCATGTACATATTGTGTATTTTTGGAATTATGTAGCTGTAATTTTTTTCCCATATTTTTATAAGTTTGCATTTGCACTGCTAATCAAACTGTTATTTTCACATACTTACACTAAGGCAGATGGTCAATGTATTTGTAGATTGGATTTGGCGATCTTTACCTTGGTATCCGACAGAAGATGTCACTGTTATGTGAGAGGGAGGTTGCTAATTAATATTGCTGTGAATTGTTCATTGTCTTTTGTAATTTTGTCACGGTGTTTTGGATTCCATGTGGATGATGATGATAGAACAGCACAGAGCCATTGTACTGCAATATGAAACTCCCACACACACCTCCTCACATTGCATCTTAATTTGGAAAGTCTGTCATTTTTGACTGACTGCATTAAGCAGAAAGAGCACAAAATGAGCACGTAGTACAAGCATTTGCTTAAGCTCTTCACTTAGGTGCTGTACTCTCATCACACATTATAACTTAAGATGTGAAAGATGTGATCTTTATGGCTGCTGCAAGGTTACCCGTATTTTTGTATGAATCATCATACCTCAGTGTTGTCTGGGAGCGAGTGTTTCCATGTGATTCTGATTGTTTTAGCACTGCACCACACCCTTGAGACCACACTACAAAAAGACAGCTCGGTATCTGCATATATCGCAGATATTGCATCACATTCAGATGTTGTTGGAACGGCTAATTCACTGAACAATGCATTGCAACAGCACTCAGCAGCTATTAACAGAGATTTATGTTTTTTACAGAAAGTACTGTACAAATTCTTGTCAACATTTTATGCAAGATGAGCTTCTGTGTCAAAGTATAAAAACAGTGAGGTTAACATTTCTTCAATTTCAAAGGGACCATTGATGTAAAATAGGATGAAACCAATTATTTTTCTTATGGAGTACGGTTCCAAATGCCATAGTGGACTCTGTATATAAACACTGTAGTGAACTGAAGCAGGAATTGGATCAAACCAGCCCAAAACACAGATCATTCTATGATCTATGATCTATGATCTATGATGATGATCTATGATCTATCATTCATGTCTAGCAGACAGTGGGAACTCCAGCAGCATTGTATATATTTTTCATGGTAAATCTCTTTATATCATGCAGTTGTTGTCTGGAAGTGACTGTGACTGCACTGTACATTTGTAAGTAATGCCCGGTGCTTTGAGTGGCTGTGAATTAAGTTAAAGGGAGAGACACTTGAAAAAGAATTAAGAGCATCTGAAATGATGCTTTTAACGGTTTTGAGGTGGACATTTTCATCAAGGGAGGCACTTTTACATTTGAGGAGTGATTTTTTTTTCTTTGTTTATATTTGGTGGCAATCCTGTTGGCATGACCTAATTGAAAAAGTTGTGCCAAAATGCAGCAGAAATACAGCACTTTTATTCATTTCGAGTAGTGTGACTCACTGTGCCAGTTGTCGTCTTAGATGAAGCTATTGTGAGTTTATAAACTGTCCTCCAAGACCTTGGCACGTCCCACAGGATAACTATGAAGCTGCCAGTCATGGTTTCATATTGTACAGTCCAATCTCATGTATGAAAACAAAGCTTTCTTGTCCAATGTGGTTGGTGACTTTAAGAAAAAAATTTTTTTTTCATTTTATCTTTTTGGGCAGCATAAGTCTTCTTTATCTTCTCTCCTTTTTTTTGCACAAAAACAAAGAAAAGGAGCTGCGGCTTCTCTGTTGTCCAGTTTGAATCTGTGAGAGGTTCACTGATGCACCCAGAAGTGATTCTCTGGATGCTATATGACTGGGTATCCCAAAAAAATTTGATTTTGATGCCAGTTCACTGAAATAATCTGTTAGTCAATCAATACTTTTTTTTGCCAAATCATTGTATTTTGCCAAATGTTGTGTTTTACTGTATATGTCTGATAGTGTCAAAATGAAAATAAAGATATGGACAAATGAGCAAACATTTGTAAAGTGTACTGTAGTATTTCTTTATTTTTGTTTTTTAAAGAGATGCCTGATGTGTATTACATGACATAGGCTGGATTATGCTGAAACTGTCTGAAAAAAACATGTATGATGCTTGCTTTTAAACATTTTAAACAAGTTTATATATAAGTGGATTTATATATAAACTTGGCTAGCCAACATAGCTTAGCATAATGGCTGAAAACAGGACAACTCTGAGCTGAGCTGTACAAAAAGCAGAACAGCCATTTTAAAATGGCTGTTTAATAACCATACATTGGTTTCCCCTGTAACTATGCTATGCTAAGCTGAGCTAAGCTAAGCTAAGCTAAGCTAAGCTAAGCTAAGCTAAGCTAAGCTAAGCTAAGCTAAGCTAAGCTAAACTAAACTAAGCCAAGCTAATGTAAGCTAAACAGCTGCTGACTGTAGGTTCATTTTTTTGGACAGAAATCACATTGGTATCAGTTGCATAATTCTTTAATTGCAGGATAGCAAAAAAAATTATTTCCTATTACAGTAAAGGGGCAATAAAGGGGTTCCTTTAGATCAACTTCAATGCAGTGTCAAAGGCAACCATTTTAATGAGTGGCTCTACTATAGCATCACATTTTGAAATGACTTTCAGTAGCTGGAAAGTAATTCTTACCAGAGATGGAGTGAAATGGAAGACTATTCATGCATCGCTCTTTCTGTGTCCAAAATACATCACAATGCATTCAATATTTTAATTCTAAAATGTTAATGAGCTACATGTAGTCACAGTTTGGTGGTTTAGAGATAAAAAGGCAGATCAAAATAAAATGCAAAAAAAGTGCTCCCTCTTATGATAATCACAGTGGAGCCACACATTATAACTTAACAGGCTTGATCTGATCACTGCAGCTAAACCTCCCACATATACATATATTATTTTGCAATCTACTAAAAGTTCCAGTTTTAGCCAAATAATGAAACAGCCAAAATATCAAAAAGGGTCACATTAAACCTTGTAGATTGAAAGACACAGTAGACTTATTAAAAAGTTTTTATCTTACCTCTACTAGTACTGTCAGTTATCCTTTCTGCACACTTGATATTTCTAGGAGCGTATGTCCACACTGGAAGCAATTTACTGCAATGTGGCAACCAGAACCCACAGAAAGTCAAGGATATTCAGTGACTATGAGTGAAATGATCACTGTGTGGGATCCGAGATAAATTTTTTTGACTACCAGTGAGAACACAGGATATCTCTGATTGACATACAAATACAGTTACTTAAAATGGTGAGCTGATCTTGACAACACCATGGTGGATCCTTGGCGGATCCTCGGCTGGTTCTTGACCAATGAGATCCCCTGCCTGTGATATGTATAAAGCCACCACAAGTGTTAATGCCCCTAAACAGCACTGAGGAAAACCAGTGCTAATATCTTATGTATACACCAGTAGAGGTAGTGACAATGGAAGCTCATTCATTTACATCTTTCTACACTGCTTATTAATCCATTCTATGTTAAAGGGTTCTATAATTCAAAACACTGATATAGGCTAATTGGCAGCATACAATTTAGAGGTTGTACACACTGAACAAGCGACATACAGCAGAAGACAAAAAGTGATGTCTAACGAGTTTTTGGAAAGAAAAGCATCTGGACTTCTTTAAGTTGCTTGAAGATGTTTCACCTCTCATCCAAAAAGCTTCTTCAGTTCTAAGGTCAAATGGTGGACAGTCCCAGATTTAAGTCCTAGGGGAGTGTCCCCCAAGTCAGTCAAGAACCCCCTGTTGATCCTCTACGTTAATCAGACGAGCCCAGGTGTGAAAACAGGTGTAGGCCACAATCAGCCTATGGCTGTATCCCAATTCAGGGTCTGCAGCCTTAAAGTACTCATTTCAAGGCCGATTATGTCACAGCGGCGCGCCGAAGGCTGTCCCAATTCAAAGGCTGCTCGAAATGCGGCCCTGAAATGTGTCCTACATTTCCCTGAATTTTAAGGCTGTGG